GGCCGCGCCCCTGAACTCTGTCAACTCTGTGGCTGGGCTCTGTGGCTTGGCCTTCATGCAAACAGAGCATATCCCCAACCAAGAAGGCTCGACGGCCCCAAGGCAGAGATAGAGCCCAGGTGGGCCCTCCACCAGGACTGGGGGTCAAGACCTTGGCCGCCCCCCTGAACACTGTCAACTCTGTGGCTGAGCTGTGTGGCTGGGCTCTGTGTCCAGGCCTTGTCCTCCTCTTGTCCTCCTCTTGGCCGCGCCCTGAACTCTGTGGCTGGGCTCTGTGGCTTGGCTCTGTGTCCAGGCCTTGTCCTCCTGAACTCTGTCAACTCTGTGGCTGGGCTCTGTGTCCGTGCCTTGTCCTCCTCTTGTTCTCTTCTTGGCCGCGCCCCTGAACTCTGTCAACTCTGTGGCTGGGCTCTGTGGCTGGGCTCTGTGTCCTCCTCTTGCCCGCGCCGGGCTCTGTGTCCAGGCCTGGCCCTCCTGTTGTCCTTCTCTTGCCCGCACCCCATGAACTCTGTCAACTCTGCGGCTGGGCTGTGTGGCTAGGCTCTGTGTCCAGGTTGTCCTCCTCTTGTCCTCGTTGTCCTCCTCTTGTCCTCCTCTTGGCCGCGACCCTGAACTCTGTCAACTCTGTGGCTGGGCTCTGTGTGGCTGGGCTCTGTGGCGCACGCTCTGACATACGCTCCAGAAAGGCGCGCTCAGAGCGCGCTCTACAGAGAGAAAGACAGAGAAAGATAAACTTGAAGAGAATGAGAGAGAGAGAGAGAGAGAGAGAGAGAAAGAGAGCAGGGCGAGCGCGCGCGCTCGTGTGCTATGGACGGCTTACTGGCTCTTGTCCTCCTCTTGTCCTCTGTGCTGGGCTCTGTGGCTGGGCCTTGTCCTCTTCTTGTCCTCCTCTTGTCCTTGTCTTGGCCGCGCCCCTGAACTCTGTGGCTGGGCTCTGTGGCCCGGCTCTGTGTCCGGGTCTTGTCCTCCTCTTGTCCTTGTCTTGGCCACGCCCCTGAACTCTGTGGCCGCTCTGTGTCCTCTTGTCCTAGTCTTGGCCGCGCCCCTGAACTCTGTGGCTGGTCTCTGTGGCCCGGCTTACTGGAGAGGAGTGTGGCCGAACAAATAGCGATGTCAATGCCGACAAAAATTCATTGATGAAGCAGTTTGCTCTTGGGGTGAAAGTAGGGCGAACCAAGAAATCGATTTTTGAAGCTGTTTGGGGTCTATGCTTGTATAATTTTATGATAGATGCTCGAAGGACAATGGCTTCCAAAAAGTCTCACCAGTTTCAACAAGTTTCAAAGTTTGGTTGGAAAGGAGAACAAACCTGAAAGCCAGTTGTAAGCCAAGGCTTGAAGTTTCACACCGCAAGCTGGCCAAAGAGATCTTTTTCTTGGGGCTCACCTTCCTGATGTGATTGCTGACCTTTCTGGGGTGTGTTTAGGGGTGTGCAAAAACTCCCTGCGGAGCACTAGTTCTTTTTCCCCAAACAGTTTACTGTTGGGGTTCTATCTTCGAAAAAAAGGAGCTGGCCACACTCACTGGCCGCGCCCCTGAACTCTGTGGCTGGGTCCTCCTCTTGTCCTCTGTGGCTGGGGCTCTGTGTCCAGGCCTTGTCCTCCTCTTGCCCTCTGTGGCTGGGCTCTGTGGCTGGGCTCTGTGTCCAGGAATTGTCCTCCTCTTGTCCTCTGTGGCCTGGGCTCTGTGGCTGGGCTCTGTGTCCAGGCCTTGTCCTCCTCTTCTCCTCCTCTTGGCCCCTGACACAGAGTTCACTCTGTGGCTGGGCTCTGTGTCCAGGCCTTGTCCTCCTCTTGTCCTCTGTGGCTGGGCTCTGTGTCCATCCTCTTGTCCTCTGTGGCTGGGCTCTCCTCTTGTCCTCTTCTTGTCCTCCTGTGGCTGGGCTCTGTGGCCCGGTTTACTGGAGAGGAGTGTGGCCGAACAAATAGCGGTGTCACTGCCGACAAAAATTCATTGATGAAACAGATTGCTTTTGGGGCGAAGGTAGTGCGTACCAAGAAATCATTTTTTGACTAACATTGGCCTAAAGGAATTGTTTTGAAACTGTTTGGGGTCTATGCTGGTATAACTATATATTTTTGAAAAATAAGTAGCCGCTTTTGGACTTATCCTTGTGCGGGCCTTCGCCCTTCGCCCCTCCAAACATGGGCTCCATCTTCCTGACTTCCGACACCTGTTGCACACCATCGCACGCCATGGTGCTCGGTGGCGGGCGAAGACCAAGCTCCAGAGTTCAAACATTTGGAACAGATCTGGGACCAAAACCTGGAGTCCAATCAGTCCACCATGTAGCCAACCACTCGGTCTCGTGGTGCCATTACCCACGACCATCTCATCGAACGTGCCTCTCGGTCGGCACCGCATCCACCCGCGTAAACCACCAGTCCAGGTGTGGCGGGACCCGGGCGACCGGCGTCCTTGAAGCAAAAGGTTTGGGCAAAGTTGCCCAGCGGGCTGATCTTGCCCGAGAATCAGGTGCGCCCCCCGGGAGATGGGGTGGGCATCAAAGTCTCAGGACATGTCGCGCGGGAGGGGGTAGAAGACGAAAAACAGAGGTTTTCTGGTTTTCGAGTGTTTGATGTGCAAGCTCCTTGTTTAAAAGCAACTCACTTCAGCATTTCAGCGCCACTCTCACATGGACCCGGGAAACCAGGGTCATCAACTCCAGGAGAATCCCAAGTTTTTCTGAACCCCCAAAAAAACGATTTGAGATTCCGAGATTCCTTGCCATTACAGACATGTCGTGTGGATATTATGGATCTATCCGCCAACGCCGTTGAGTTCCGGCGCGCAACGCGCTCCCTTTTTTGCCCCCTCATCACGCCGCGAGGAAGCTCCAGCAGTTCCAGCGGTTCCCTCCAAAAAGATAATCTGGTTTTGGCACCCTTCCCCAAAGCTTTCCTTTCATTTCAGTCCAGCTCTCAGGTGTTCTGAACTTGGACTTCTCCCATCAACACCCCTCGTGGAAAAATCGTTTTCGATCACTGTGGTGGACTGACTGTGATCATTTCTGCCATGGCAGCAGTTCTTTTTTTTTCCAGCTCTAGAAGTTCAGTTCGACGATTTTTGGGACCACCGAAGTAAAGACATTCCGAACTTCGGATCACCTATAGATGACAATTAGGGACTTACTTTCAGGACTGGGCCACCTTCATTCGGATCACCTATAGACAATGTAGAAACAATTGGGCTCTTTTGGGACTTCCAGGGCCATCGCTCTCTTTTTTTTTGCTTCGTTGCCCGACACCTCTGGGAGGATGATCCCATGCGGCTCATCTACGAGATGGAGTGCCTGGGCGGGTTTGGACGGTTTCGGGGTAGGTGTGAAGATGGTTTCGGGGTACTGATATAGCAATTGACTTCCTTTTTGTGGCATAGGTGGTGGAAGTTAGGTCCAAGTAGGCGAGAACCTGAGGTCTGAAAGCGGATTATGGAAAGACACAAGTCTGAAGTCTGAAAGCAGCACGGGACTGTCCCCATATCCTACCTCTGGATTCACCAGAAGAGCCCCTTGGTCTGCAGCTCAGAGAAACAGAACAGCCCGGTGAGCTGGCAGAAGTCAGAGTGTCGAGTTCAGATCCTCACTAAACCCATTTCACCCATTTCTATCCTTCGCCTTGAGACAAAAGAGACAGAAAAAAACATCCGAGCATCTCATCCATTCGGTTTCGGGGCGGTTCAGATACGGCTCGTCGACTGAACTCAGTGCTCTTCTCATTTTGATCTCTACACCCGTCCGAGTCGGTGAACCAAGGAATGCGTAGGCAGCGACGTTCTAGGTCTCCTAGGCACAGCCAGGCAGTCTATTTTCAGCATGGCTTACAACCCTAGAATTAGCATGAATTAACCAATCAGATGCGCAAAGAAGAAGATGCGTACGTACCCTTGATGTTTTCCAGCAAGATGGCCGTAATTACGTGGCACTCGCCCGTACGTATGCCGGCATGAGGACGGGTCACCCCATGACGACCGGCCGGACGACAGAGGTATTTGGCATTCGTCCGGCTTCCAACAGCTTCGATGTTGGCCAGAGTGGCCCGAACAGCATGTGGGAGGTGCCGGGCGTCTCTCCCCAAGCGGAAAAGTCTCGGCCTGTCCAGTGTCCAGCAAACCACTTCTCCGGGGGAAATGAGTTGATGTAGCGAAACAGACCAATAATTAGTCCATCAGACATGTATTTTTTTGATTTCAAGGACTTGTGTGCCGTGGAAAGCTTAGGGCTCTTGTGACATCAAACCTGGCCGACATCCGAGCAACAAAAAGCTTGGTCACTGACCCAAAAAGCCCAACACGCTGCAAACCATTTTGAGATACGGACGCGCACGAGAATTTGGACGCTTTTCCACAAGATCTTCAAGAGCGAATTGGGTGGTTGGGGAATGATGGGGTATCTTCCGCCTAGAGCGAGGTGGACGGCGTTGCCCTGCTGCCGCTTCAGCGTGCGCGGCAGAATGCCCAGGTGCGGGCGGAATCGGTTCGATGCCCAAGCTGCCTCTCCATCCAAGAATCATGAAAAGTGGAGTTCTTCCTTGTTTGGTGGAGGTCAGCAGGTTTTCTACTCCACTGTGCCGTCCCGGTCCAGCGAAGACCAATGAGAGTTCAACCAGAAAGGAAAGATACAAAGGAGATCCAGTGACCCCTACTTGGGTCACCGAAACGCCGAAGACATCCAAAGACTAAAACCCGTAGACCGAGGTTCCCTGGTTCAGTCGGTTCGCGACAGGGTCGCCTGGGATCCACCTGAAATAGCTCGATGGGTCGCTGATTTGGAAGTCGAACCGAAGGAGTCCGCGACACGCGGAAGGCCGGCCCACGGGTGTAATTGACATCGGGGGGACGATCTGCCCTTCACCGAACCCAGCGGGTGGTCGGACAGGGCGCCCGGACCAAGACCCTCCCAACGACCATCGGACCGGATACTGGGGGGGGAATACTTCGGACCGGACACCCGCCTTTTACGCAGGCAGATGGCACTCAAGTAGCGACATCGACTGAGGGGAAGGGATTTGGTGACTTTTTGGGGTTGTTTGACTGACTTCTGTGGCTTCTGTGACAGGGAACGAGAGAATGGATGGAATCTCTATTGGTGGTTGAAACTTCCCCTACATTCCCCGTCCGTTTTCGTCGCACCGTCATCCGTTCTCTTCCGGGGTCCCAGCCGGACCGGAGGGACCGCCGGACCGTCCGAATGGTCGAGCCCGTGTTGGATCGCTCCGCATTTGGGACCGAAGCCCCGATGCCTAGGCTTCGAACTTGTACGTCTTACAGCATCCGGTGAACGCAAGTCGTGTGGGCAAAGCAGAACTGGAGCCCCCCAAAGAATTGGCCGCGACGCCCTCCAAGCAGTACCGCAAGCCCAGAGATCTGTGACTCTTCTGTGAGTATTCCATGTTCCGGTGAGTTACTCAGTACTTGTTTCAGGCAACGCATTGAGTGACCAACAGTTCCATCTTCATGATCATGCACATCCGGCCAGCGGCCGGAACCACGGATTCTCCGAACTTGGGACTTCTCCTTCCGGTGTCGCCAGAGAAGGGACGCTCTCTTCTTCGTTTCGCTTCTCCTTCCGGTGTCGTGCTCTCGCCGTTCGAGACCTTCGTCGGAATTCACGGCGGCAGGCGTCGGTGCCTCGTTGGTGGTCCTCCCCCGAAAGCTTGCGCCTTTGCGCGACGGCACTCAAGGAGGCGGAGACCGGAGACCGGAGACCGTTCCAGAACATCGACCCGACACCCGGCGCAGAGGATCTGATTGAGGAAAACACACCCATGTTTGGTTTGACTCGCAACCTCGGTTTGGGCCTGGCTTCGGGCTCGCGTCCACCCGTGAAACATGTGACTCCGCCCAATCGTGCCGATGTGGACAGGAGAACTTTGCAGTGCTCGATGGCTTTCTGCCCGAGGAGGTCTGCCAGGTGCGACGTCTCAGAATGGCCCGGTAGGCCCCGGTTTCTGCACGGTGCCCAGCTCGAAACGGGTTTCGTCATATGCATTGCCATTGCCCTCTATATTTGGCCGGATTCTTGCTTGTGCTTGCTTCATCCCCACTTAACCTCGTCCATTGTGAACCGAGCCCAGCACAGGTGGCGAGACTCTGAGCAAGTGACAAGTAGCAAGAGGCCAAAATGGACAGAAGCAAAAGACCATAGCCGACCAAAACCCCTGCCACAAAGACCCTGTGGCAGTGTTTGATGTGAGGGATTACGGGATTATCAATAAGCTGATCTGAGACTGGAAGGGGTTGGACATGGAACCAAAGCTGCAAATCTTGATGTCACAACTGATGCCACCCTACCAGCCCAAAGCTTGGTCGGCCCCCTGGTACCAACAAACCAACCAGACAAACCACACACACCTTTTCAGTTTACGATGTGGGAATTCAAGTTGTTGGGGACAAGCATCCATTTGCCGATGTGACATTCACGGGTACCTGCGATGACTCATCGCGTACCTGCCTGATTTTCCGACATGGCACCCTGGCTTCCAATACATTTGAAGGGGATCGCTTCTTGAACAAGTTGGGGTCACTTCCGGCTGCTGAGCACTTCCCAAAGGCATAATTCTTTGGGCACCCCCCACAGAGACCTACACTTACACATCCCAAAGTCATACCCAGTTATAGATTTGAGACATTTCTTGAGGCAGGGCCAAGTCATTCCAAATGGTTCCAGAACGTCAACACCAGGCCCTGGCGGAGGGCGCCAAACGCTCCCGGCCGAGCATGGTGCGGGGCGCCACCGGCGCCGCCGCGCGCGTTAGTCCGGGGCAGGACTTGGCCAAGGCAGGACCGTTGGCATTTGAAGGTCTACCAGGTGGTTGCCCCATGTGGGAAGTGTTCCCCCGGAAGCAGATGTTGTGCAAGAGTGAGCTGATGTGGTGTTGCCCAGTTTTCTTGGAATCGCACGAAGCACATCGCGTTGCCCGGTGCGACCGGCTTCTCTCGTCCCGGTCGCCGATCGCTTGTTTGCCCTCGGATCCTCCGTTCCCTCGGGTGTTCCACAGAGTCGTCCACCACTTGAGAGATCTCGGAAATGAACTGATCCTACAGATTCTCTTGTACATCTTGTACATGGTGTAGATCTCGGTGGACGCAGTATCTGGCCTATCTATCCTAAGTGCAGCCAGGTGCTAAATCAGCCCAGCAGAGTCTTGTTTGCAGGGAGGAAGGCTCCAGATGGACAGATGAGATTATCCTTTCGTATCCTTTCGTTTGGCTTGGCGACCCACCAGAAGCTCATGAGCAGTCAAAACATGAAAGGACGTAAGCATTCCTTTTTTGTGCCATGACCGGGCATGGCGGTGGACCACCACCAGGTTGCCCAGGTTTGGGATGAAGCCATGAACTCTTGCTGCTCTAGGTTTGGATGTTTGGATCTTTGGATCGGGTCACAGAGGTCTTTCATGCAGATCCACCCACCTCTCAGAATCTGTTCATGGCCGCGGTCTGCCATGTGTGGGTCCAAAACATGTGACCTTTCGCTGGATCGGACTGACGGATCAGACACGACCACTTCTTCCGAAGGAACCACCGTGGTAGCAGCTGCTAGCAAGACCAACATCACACAAAAAATGGTGAACATGATCTGGTGTTTCCGAAAGTATCATTTTGCAAGGCTTGAACCCCTGAAGCCAGTGAAGCGGTCTAGGATGTTGTGCAACAAAACCTCAAATCATCCTGCACGTCCCCTGTTTGGCATGCGGAACATGCTAATCCCAAATCGGGGCCATACGATCCACGTGGGCCCATGATTGTTCCAGAGAGTGTATCAACCGAGATCCCAAATGACCGCCCTTTCGGCCGGCGACCGTGGAGAGTTTCTCTTTGTGGACGGCCAAGTCTTGGCTCCGTCCCATGTCTCCTGGGGTGAGACTTAGATGGATGTATTATGATGAATCCATGGCTGATGTCAACGTGGGTGTCAAAGACATGCGAAGACGCAGAAGAAAAAGACGCAAAAAGCGCATGATCGCGCTTTTTGCGTTTCTTTTGGGGCATCCAAGCCAGTGGGCATTCATCTCTGGCAGCACAGGCAAATCAACAAAGAAAGCACATGCAGTCAGAGGAATTGGAGCTCCACCCAGTCAGAGGCATGGACCCCTTGAACCACTTTGCTACATGTTTTTGCATTCCCTCCTTTGGTTTTAGCATGTTTTTGCCATGTTGAAGCCCGCAAAATTCAACTGGCACGGACCCTCAATGGGTTAGCCTAGGAGGTGATGTCGTCAAGTTTGCAGACGAGGGGCAAATGCCCGGCTGCCAAGGCAGGAGTGGTGGCTTTCAGTTAGATTTCCAGGGAATCAAGCCAGGGGCTGTCTTTTCGAGGCACCCCTTTTTTTTGGCAAAAGATGTCGAACGATGCGAAGCTCTGCAGATGTACCCATCAACATCCCAACATGCCATCCTCTGTTTGAGTCTAGTCATTTTCGGGCAGACTACCCTCGATGCCGCAGATTTCCTCGATGCCTTGGATGCCCTTGTGGACGCTTTGAAGACCTCCGACTCCGTGGAGGTCAGCGTGCGACATCGCTTGAGCTGCGTCGACTGGGCCAACAGTGCCATGTGTCTGGGCCAACAGTGCCATGGAGATGGACAGATGGAATCAGATGGAATCAGATGGAGATCGGCCAAGAGTCCCTCCCTGGTAGGGTTGAATGAAGAGTCTCCCTGGTTTGGGGGTGGGATGTAGGTGGATTTAGGGTTCAAAGATGCTTGTTTGATTTTTGTTACTCCAAGTGGTGCTAGATTAGATAAGTGACTCCCGGGTTGGCCAAAACATGCTTAAGAGTCTTCTTGCGGTCCTTAGTTTTCGACCTACCAGCCTGAAGAGGAGCTTTCAAGTAGGCAAGCAGGGCAGACTGTCCGAGGTGGTGGTGCAGTACGAAGGTTGTCCTGGGAGGTCGTGTTTGATCATGGTCCTCCACGAGTTCGACGGGATCCAGGTGTGAATCAACTCACTAGGCAGTTTCAGCAGAGGATGAAGTTCACATGTCACAGGTAGACGAAATCAGTCCAGCGGGTGTTGCAGAATGGTTGAGGATCCCCAAGCATTGCATTGGTCATAATGTCATTGAGTGTCAATGCTACCAGTCGCCCCATCTTCTCCCCCAGAACCTCAATTCTCTCATTGAAAACGAAGAATGACCCCTCATGGCCCTCATCGGACCGGCGGGCAGGCTGTCCACACCCATCGAGGAAGCCACGGCACGCCCTGAGGTTTGCCATTTACCCTGGAGGCGCCTCCAGGTACATCAAGCACGTGGACAACACCTTGGGCACCGATGGTCCGGGGTCCAAAAAGAAGACGAAGAAACAGCATGGAAACAGCGAGGTGAAGCCGCGAGCTCGGATTCTGTCTGACGTGCCAAGTGAGACTGGTGGGTGGGAGGTTCGATCGTAATAGGTTGGAGGCCGTCGCTAGTAATCCTGCCACTTGACGTCCCGGAAAGAGCCACCTCGGCGCTGGAGGCCGCCGCTTGACGGCCGTGCTGTACTTGAACCGAGATTGGTGGCTCGGGCTGGACGACTGGCAAGAGGGGAGCATGCCAGACGATCTGTGTGTTGGGATGAAAAGAAGACTGGTCAGACTGAGACTGGAGACCTGGACTGGCGTTCCATGGTTGTTTCACGGGATACACAGATTCTTTTTCAGATTTGGGTAGTGCAAGTGACTACTACACCTCCAAATCAACCCCAGAATTGGCAATCCAGTTGGAACGATGTCGCCGCGCGGCGGTCGGGTCAGTCTTCGCCGTTTTGGTTGAGGTGCGAGCAGGACGGCGGTTGCCTGCGGATCTTTGAGCCGACGATGCAGAGCTGCCAGGCCGACGACGGCGGGGTGGGGAAGTGGAGACGGGGGGGAGAAGGGTGTGGGTAAGGTGTGTCGGGAAAGGGAAACTCGAGATCTTCGGCTTCGTGAGTTCGAGGATGTTCCGGCGACTCAGGACGGCGATTCGGTCGATTTGGGAGATGGAGCAAGCAACAAGGATTCATGGAACTTTAGTTAGTTGGTTAGTTAATTGGTTAGTTAATTGGTTAGTTAGTTAGTTAGTTAGTTAGTGTGTTTGTTTGTTTCTTTGTTTGCTTTTGTTTTTTTGCAGGTGCAAACTGTAGAGTGACTGGGTGTCATGATCGGCCCCTCTTAACCCAGCATGAAGGGACCCCGCATTTGCTACTAGAAGTATTTGGGAATCGTTTGATTTGCTGAGACTTTTGAGACACGTGAGTGAAAGGACAACCACTCTAGGAGTTTGGGTCTGCTCATTTTGATAGCGCACTCCATGTGTGGGTAGGGGTGCCTTGTTATCCGCTCGTAACACCAGTTCAGTAGATACATGTTTATCATTTAAAGTTCAAATCCCATTCAATCTACCGGGACTGCCACCAGCTTGGTTTGAACCATTTCTGTGTGTCAAAGCGAAACATTCGGGACCATGATTGCAAAAAACAATGCGATCCTTTTGAGGGAAAACAGAGAGAAAAACGGAGGGAACGACAGAGAGGGATGCTCTTGATCCAAGCAGTTTATTCCTGGACCTTCAAAGGGGTGTCAATGGAGATCCTAAGTGGTGTAGGGGTTTCCAGCCAGGTGACCCCTTTGAAGGTGCTGTTTTTTTCATTGCTGGTAAGACCTTGTTCGTTTTTTTCTCGTCTTCGCTTGCAGATGCAGGTGAAGCGGGATATCGAGCCGCTGTGGAATCGCCTAGCCTCGCACTTGGCTCGGGTGAAGCGGGAGGAAGAGTCGACTTGTCCGAAGAGTCTGGGAAACAGACATCAACTTCACTTGAAGGTTGAAATGTTGAGTTCCACTTGTGAATGGTTGGTCGTTACATCACATCAAGAGAAATTTACTTGGTGTTGGTTTGTCAATAAGAAGGCGTCTCCAGAGAATTACAGGCACCATACCCAAATGGCTTAGTGAACCAGCACCCTCACTGCCAGGTCACCTGCCACCTGCCACCCAGTCGATCGGAGACCTGTCTTTCTCAACGGGTGCTGACCGGCTCGGACCGCTCTCGAGCCCTCTCCGCGCTTCTGCCCACAGCTTCTTCGGGGCGCCCACCGCGCAGGTGGTCTTTTGGTCGACCCAAGAAGTGCCTCACGAGGTGCTCTCCAGCTACAAGGACCAGTGACAACCGCGTTTGAGGCAAGGGTGAGTTGTGGCATGGGCAGGATATTTTTGGGAAGTCCAGATGGGTTTAAGTCGATATTCTTCGTGCAAAGGAGGCCCAGGTTGAAACTGTCCAAAGCACATGGGCCCACGAGCCGAAGGATGTTTGAACTGTTGCGGGATAGATATCATGCAGTCGTGGACGCCTGATCTGATTGTCTTAATTTCACATATACATGGAGGTAGAAAATCAATCTTGAAGTCAAATGTTGCCCGCCAACCACGAAGATCCAATTCAAAAATCTATCAATGGCGAATACTGCGGACCGGGAACCTAAAAACCAGAGATTAGAAGTCTCCTTTCAAGACACTTTCTTGTCTGCTTTTGTGCAGCCCCTGTGCCCTGGGTTGAAGCTCACTTATTGGACATGATTCTACTCGGACCTTCAGAGATGGAAAGCACTATGATCATCTTGATCTATCTTGATATCTCTTTGATCCATCCACCCTTTTTACACGGACGCGTCACCAAAAGGTCCATTCTGCAAGCCTCTGAAGTGTAGGATTTCCACTCGCCCGGGCCGTCCTCCCCGGCCGTCCTGGACCGGGCCGTCCTGGACCGGACGGACCGCCAGGACCGCCTGGCGGTGAGCGTGTGGTTCATCGACGGTGCGGAATCCCTGCGGAGCCGGGAGCCCTTCGAGCGGCTCTTTTCCCCGAAGCTGAGGCGACTGGGCGGGTCGGGAGGCGAAGTTTTCAGTGGGAAATCGCGAAGGTTCGGCTCTGTTGGGAGCCACGGAATTTTTCAAAAATACTTTTTTTCACCTGGAGCCCGACCTTGGAGGGATGACCAATCCACGGAACGACGGTTGCGTCGGTAGGTCAAGCAAGGTATCCTGGCTGCCATGACCCATTTATTTAGAATAAGTAACATGGGTCATACCTTGGCAGCCATTACGTATATGTCCCATATGATATATCACATATCTTGGCTGGGAAAATACCGTTACTATCCTTCAGACTTCAGACCCGTGGAAAACACCATTGTTCTGAAGTGTAGCTGGACTAGCGATGGACTGTGAAGATTCTGCAGGTGCTTGGGCGACCGGCGGCAGTGCTTGCTGAAAGCAGCCAAGAATGAGGATGAGAGGCCGGTTTTCTGTTTAGGTGTCGTTGCTAGATGTTCTAAAATCATCCTGCTGTATATTGCTGTGTATTGATTTAATGTCAAGAACGTTTGGGAACTCTGCAAAGGGTCTTATATGGATGGGTCTTGGCCAATCCACATCAGTCACACCTTTCACCCTCATTCACCTTCATCGCCTTGGGCACTGCCCTCCACTCGCCAGGGCCGTCCTGGCCGCGCTGCCATTGGAAGCCACGCACGGCTTCTCGGAGGCGGAGCGGCGTCGCTTGGCCAGGCCGGGCGGCCGGAAGGGGAGGCGAAGGGAAGCGAGGCGGCGAGGAATTGGCCAGGAGTGGAGCTCTTGAGTTGTCCAGATAGCCCAAGTGGCCACACTGTGGAGTGGGGAGGGAAGGTGAACTGGGCATGTCTTTACAGCACCATGAATGAACAGAACTCGTGCAAGTGGTTCGCGAGCCAAGTTGGCTCTGCGTGAAACAAAAGGCTTTTCAAATGTTCAGAACTATATGGACTCTTCTGTACATTACTAGTAACAAGTGCATTACTACTCTAGTAGCTCCTGGCATTACTACTAGTAGCAAGAAGCTACTAGGAACTGATTGGAAATCCTTTTGGAAGATCAGGTCATGGCCCATTTTGGAAAGGCTCACTCCCCACTCCGCCATCCCCGGACCGGGGCCATCCAGGCTCTTCGGGTGGCGAACTGAAGAGGCGACCCGAAGAAGTGAACCGAAGAAATGAAGAGAATGGAAGGCACCAAGAGATGGCGACCCCGTTCAAAAACGGTTTCTTCACTTGCTCACGCGGCATGGTTTCCAGCCTCGCTACGAATCTTGCGTCTCGCGAACGGAAGAGTTTTACGAACAGACACGAACGGACACTTGAGCCACATCTGTGTTCATTCGCAAAAGAGCCACTGCCAATGGGCCAAAGACCATCCATACCATGCAACAGTTTTAGTTGATTTGTTTGTTTGTTGTCCAATTGGCTTGTTGTCTTGAGATGCCTTGAGTGGTGGTTTGGTTGTTTTTTCGGTCAGGCGATGTCTTGACCGTATTTTCTCCAGATTCGTCCGACGGGGATCCAAAAGACCGAGTTGGGGGGGCCCATCTCAAACGGCGCATCCCCACATTGAGACCTGATATTGGCAACAAAGAAGGGCAGTGTGACTCGACATGAGGGCCCATCACCTTCAGAGGATCTCATGTGGGTTTTGGGGGGGAGGTTTGGACCCTTTCTCGGACGTGTGGCCCTGGAGAAATGAAGCGTGTGGAGGAAGATGAAAGGTTTGTAAGTTTCAAGTTGCTTTGATGATTGACTTGGAGTTGCACTCCTGAATATGGGGCTGCTGAGCTCTTGAACAAATCACAAACCTGTACAGCTTCACTGATATGTGAATTTGACAATTTCTCCATCATCCAGGGAACAAGTAGCACTGATCTGTGGGTTTGGAGAGATGTTGCGAAGAAAAAACGACCAATGGAGTGCCAGTCGTGTGATTCGACCAACGGAGTGCCAATTCATGGCGCGACGACCCTGCGATGTTCCACCGACCCGGCCAGGACGTGCAGCGCGAGCTGGACACCGCGCAGGAGCCATAGATGAAACGCCATTGAAGGGCTTTCTGTGGTACAATTGTGCTTCCTTCCCAGCGTCCTTGCTCCGTTCGTAGCCATGCCTTTGTTACAGTAGCTTCTTGTTCCTAGTAGTAGTGCCAGAAGCTACGTTCGTAGCGTCCTTGCTCCGTTCGTAGCGTGGCCCTATCCGCATCCGATCGTTTCACGGTTTCTGTCAACCGTGACAAGTCTGGACCGCCAATCTTCTCTTCCTTCTCCTTCTCCTTCTTCTGTTTCTTTGCTTTGTCCTCCGTCTTCTTCCTGTCTGGTTTCTGTTTTGCACCCACAACCTGACCAAACAAAAGCTACGAACGGAGCAAGTACGCTACGAACGTAGCTCCTGGCCTTTACTAGGAACAAGACGCTACTAGTGACAAGGGCATCGCTACGAAAGGAGCAATTCTCCAGGGCCTTTCAGGCCTGATCAGATCCTGATCATGTTGCCAGGACCGTGCCATCCGCAGTGCCTTAGAGAAGGCACTCCAGGGCGGGCAAACACCTGCAGAGGCCTTCGGTGTGAAGGCGCGAAGGGAAGGACCCCGGCACCTCCGCCTGGGAAGCGATGGGGGCGCGACCATGAAGGTGCGACCCATCGAAGTGAGCTGTGGATGGGAATGGAAGACCATCCACATGGAATCCACCTCCCCAACCTTTCCAGCTCCTGCTCCGTCTGGGTCTCCGGTGAAGTCGAGACGAGGCGTTCGCTCCAAAGAAGCCGCTGCACTTTGCTGCTCAGCTGAACTCGTGCCGCTGAGGGGTGGGCCAGTGGGGGCTGGTCATCGCTGTGACGGACTCGGGTCGGTCGACGGTTTCGGTGAGGTCAGGTCAAGCAGGAGCTTATCCATTTTATCCATCTCAGCAAACAAGCATGGAAGAGCAGATTCCCATGGGTTGATGATGGCTCAACCTGTGCTCTTTCTATCTTTTTGCGATGAAGGGAAGCAAATCTCTCGTTCTGACACCCAATTGTATGCCTGGCACCAACCAAACACCCGAAACCTGCTGTCTGGTTCTTGGCATGGAACCAAGAACCAATGCGGTCATAGTCTCCAAATGTCTCAAAGTAGAGAAGTCAAATGAGTTCTGTGCTGTCTTTTGTTGGGGGGGGTCAGGATGGCGGGCCTTGTTTTTCTTTCACGAGCACTGAACTACGATTGATGAATGGACGCAGACCACACATGTTCGTTCTGCAAGTTATATACCGTTTCTTGACCGAATGAATGTCAGGTCTTCACAGAAACCTGAGTCAACAGCCTGACATTCTAAAGACCACACATTCAACTGCCCCTATATAAATAACATACACAGTTGCTTTGACATATAGAAGATATCCCTCCTGAACCTTCATGGCAGGTTGGGTACGATCCTCCTTTGGAATTCTATTTACTAGATTCGTTTCTATTTTTCTTTTTTTTTTCATATTTTTCAGAGTTCAATTGCCCCTTTCGTTGCCTTAGGAGATTGTGGACGATGAGATCATGATGCGCGAGAGGCCGCGGCGATGTCGACTCAGACGACCGTGGCCGGACGTGGCCGGACTCCCCGTTGATGGGCCTCGGGACGACACGGAAAGGTGGTTTGGCCATCCGGTTCTGCACATGGCCTCGGTATCTGAGACCGACCGGTGCGCGGACTTTGTCGGTAAACATGCACAGAAAAAATTTCAGCTCCAGTTGTCTCTCTTGTCGCTTCCCTTTTGGGGCCAGGGAATTGCCCCTTTGCTGGACCACTTTGCAAGCTGACTCACCAGAGACTAGATGTAGCTTGGAGTTGGTTGCAGGTGAACATGGACCGAACGTCGCAGAGTACGCACATCGGAGGGTCGCAGCGGTCCGTCGTTCAACTCCACCGAGCGCTCGAACTGCGGCCAGGCCGAAGTTCGGCCTTGCCGACTGAGCCAAAAAAGAGGGCGGGAGGGGGGGGGGGGGGGGGGGGGGGATGGGGTTTGGTGCCTGACGTGCCAACTGCGACGGGGCACCAAGACGACGAGCGAGCTTGGCAGTCCTGGCTCGTCGGATCTTCATCTCGGGAGACCAACAGGGTGACAACAACCGGTGTTGTTGGGATGTGCCGACTCCGGCTTCGAAGTGCAGTTGTTAGGCATTACATGTACTTGGGATGGGGTTCGTTAGGCATTGCTCGCGCACTCCTCACCTTTCGTGGGAGTTTCTGGACCCGTTTTTCTCTTTTCGCCCAGGCTTTTGGATGGGGGCGGAGTGTCGTTCCTTTCTGGGCGAAGCCGCACAGTAAAACACCAGGGTTCTTTTCCTCTCCCGGAAGCTTTCCTCGGTGTGGAATTCTGTTCGGATTTTCCGGCACGGTGATGAGGACTGATGAGCGTGCTTGGGAAATAGCAATGGGAGACCAACCGAAATAGCGGCGAGTTCCATGACTCTTGGGTGTGAACCGTGTAATGATAGAGATATATAATCGGTTCTGAATCAGTTCTGATGGTGCATGTATCATATATAACCGGTTCTGCATCAGTTGGTGACACGTGTTTTCCCCTCAGATGGCGGCTCTTCTGGGTGGCTCCGGTGCGCCGGGGTGACCCGATGTCGTGTGAAAGCAAAGCTCGTCACACCGCGGCGAAGGTATTGTGTTTGAAACAGTAGACTGAACATGAAGTTCCGAAGTTCCTCACTCGAAAAACCAACAGACCGCGGCTTTGATTGGTTCTGACTCTGGCTGTTCTTTGTGTGTCTATGTTCTTTGGAGATCACATCCACGGCCTTGTTTTTGGTATGAATGGATGAGAATAGGGCCCTCTTCGCTTCCCTAAGATCTGTATGGAAAGCAATGGGAAGCTGGCGAGCCCGAGAAACTTTCTAAAACGATAGGTTGGAGGCCATCGCTACTAGGGTGGAGGCCGTTACTACTAGTAGCTAGAAACTATTAGGTTGGAGGTTAACCTTCTTTCCCCCGCCTTCCATGGTCTGACGCTCATGGAGTGTGGGGATTCAGCATTTGCACCACCAGTCTACCGGCTGGCCGGAGCTGTTGGCTCTCGCAAGGAGGTACATAACGCAGTCGGCAACACGTCGTTCTGAAGCAAGGTATTTCTCAAGTTCCTTCGAAGGATGCACACACCCTGAGCGCTTCTTCCCACAGAGAGAACATCTTGAAAGACTGAAACTGAAGCTTGCATAGATTCAAGAGATCTCAAAGTAAGTTTTGGGGTGGCATCTGCATCACTTCTACAGCCTTTAAAGCACTTGTTTTCTCGGAACTGGAACGGTTCTTCCGGAGCTTCGCCCGGCCAACCCCGTGGCTGCTGTACAGCACGCATGCTGTTAGGCGAGGAATGCCGAAGCATGCGAAGGGTGTTCGTTGGGAGAGGTGTTGTCTGCACCATTGCCCTGGTTTAGAACCTGTGGATTTCCACCGGCTGTTGAGTGTCCGACATGTTTCGGCCTCCGGCTGGGCCAAGAGATTGCTGGGCCGGAGAGGCCTCCCATGCATATGATACAGGTGGGCCGTGAAGAAGAACGGAGCAGAGCCACCCGAACGATCCTTTGTCACCCCCCTTCTCAAGGGGTTTCAACTAGTAGGGTTACCTGCATGACTAGCCCACAGCCCACCCACCACCTGCATGACTAGCTTGGGCCCCAACTCGGTACACCCAGGGGCTTTCACCGGGTTTCGGATGCCATGGCGTCGTCAGGTCACGGAAGTCATGGATGCCCAAAGGTGGCATCCTTCACGGCGTGGCACCTGGTGGTTGACCGGTGGGGTGGGTGTGGGGCGGTTTGAGGTTGACGGATCACATCCGATCACGAGCCGATCACAAGCTGCGGAAATATGTAAGATGTATGTAGATGATGTTAGTTTGAGGTCGAAGAGTTTCTTCCGGTTTCAATTCATTCAGGATGAACATCTACAGTCAATGGCTGCGGCGCCCGGCCCGCAACTAGGCCCGGCCCGCTTTTCACCAGTCCATTCACCCCGTAAGGATCCAAATACCCTCTGAGAAGGTGGGACTGGGGTGGGTTTGGAGGGTCCAAGTACCTTTTGAGGAGGTACTTGGATCCCTACAATCCAATGGGTTGGGATGACCAAGTTGCTTTGACCCAGATCATATTACCCGTTGGACCGCAGAGCCTTGGAGCCTTGGAGCCCGAATCAACTCCTAGCCTCCCAGCTGTGCCTGGGGAGAGTAGGCACCTCTTGAAGTTTCTAACAGCTTCTTGTTCCTAGTAATAAGGCCAGGAGCCCCTAGTAACGTCCTTGCTCCTAGTAGCGATGCCAGGAGCCCCTAGTAGCGTCCTTGCTCCTACGGTTGTTTTTTGGGCACCTGAAAAAAGCATGGCTTCTTGGACTTTGTGAAAGAAAAGTGAGCAGGTCAAGAACCCATGGCTTGTTTTGTGCGGTTCTTAAATTTTGATTGAGTCCATCGCGAGACTGCAAGGTGTGTTCAGCTTTCCGAAATCCATCATCTTAAAGGCACCTGGCATCGAACAATGCGGTCCCCCGAAACAAGACCCTTCTTGAAATGACATCCTCCTTACCTCGACACAACATACACACACATGTATACAATATATACACACACATATATGACTCAAAAAATCAAGGCATCCTTGTGGGGATTTCTATCGAGGTTCTTGCTTGCTTTTCCAACAGCCATTCATGCTTGAGGTCTCTCAACATCTCTCAACCCACCAGTTGAGGGCTGTGTCATGTGGTTCACCAAAACGATCATTTGCTGTCGCTGCTGTGCCTGCTGTCGCAGTCTCCTGAGGAGATGACTTTACCACAGCTCTTGCAGGCGCAGACGGCGCAAACACCTGATTTCTACCACGTGTTCTTTCGAGGGCATCTGAAACCAACTGTTCACTCACATCTGAAGACCAAACTCAGGCATTCCAGTCAAAATTTGGCGTGAAGAGCCACTGAGACTCATCCGTCTCAAACGGAGAAGCCCTCTGAATCCTACAGCCTCCGGAGGCCCCAAACTGTTGAACATGAGGGTCGTTGTTGCTCCACCTGAACTGAACATGAGGCAAGGTAGAATTCAAGATGTGATAAGTGCTTTTGATTAGTGGATTGGGTAGAATCCTACCCCAAACAGGTTCCTACTACCACCTGTCAGGGCGAGGACGTCCTTCCCACCCTTCTCGTGGGTCTCGAGCGGTGCAGGAGCTGAATGACCACGCCAAAGATCTTCGGAACATCGATGACAGGCAGGTGGAACTCGGTGGAGCTGGGCATCGAACCAGGTATTCCCCCTGCAGATGACCATGGACCCCCAGAACCACTGGGGGCTGGGTCTTCGGTTTCGATTTCCAGACCCACGGGTCAATTCTCGGGGGGGGTGGGCACCCAGAGATGCCCAGGTGATGTGACCGGTCGCAGGTGACCCTTGGACCGGTGGGTGATGCGTTCGCCCAACGAACGGGTCCACGGCCGGTTGGTCCCCACGAGAGGTACGAAGACGGTGAGGAATCCCAGAGAGGTGCCACATCCAGAATTTGGTCGGGAAGGTCTGCTGATGATACGGAGTCTTTTCAGAGTGTGTCCCCGGTTTACAAAACATACTGTATCAATACTGTAGTAGTTTTCTATGCAGGAGGGTCCGGAGGGTCACCTGGGAGGGTCATTGCTGTATCATCGATTTGGAGCGATCCATTGCTGTATCGCCCCAGCGATTGATTCGGTGCGCTGGCTCGCCGACCGGGGAGGCTCACGACCACCCAAGCCATGGTGCCCAAGAACTTGGCCAAGTCCATGGGCTCAGAGGGTGCAGCAGGGCAGGGCATTCGCTTCGTTTGAGGAACACGAGAGGAACACGTGGTTTCCGGGGCATTCGCTTCGAACAGAGAGGTTTGACCGTTGAGGACAGCTGCAGTTCCAGCCAAGGTGCCGGTCTGAACCGGCGGCCTGCGGTGCCCATGATCCACTGGATGAGACAAAAAAACCTATCTTTTTGGAACTGCAGGTGGTTGTTTGGTTTTGGTTTGGTTTTGGTTTGTTTTGCGATTTGAAGCAACACAGACCGCACAAGCTCCGTGCACAAGCTTGAACAAGAACAGCTCGGTCTCCTGACCAGCGAGCTGGGTGCTCTTGACCTAACAAGCAGCTACAGGAGCTTTTGTGGCCTTCCTGTATTTGTTTTTGCCTTTTCTTGTGCATTGCTTCACAGAAGCTCTGGTGTAATCCATCCACTCCTGACAGAAAACCATCTGTCCACCCTCAGCGGCACTCACCATGTGACTCCGGGATGGACAGATGGTGTGCTGTGCGCCGAGGATGAAATGCCAGATCCCCGGGCGAGAGAAGGACATCGAAGGGGCTCTCGTGCCTCGGACCACCTCGGCGGGGCGGCAGCCGCGACAGTGAGCCGACGGCAGCCGTGGGCGAGCCCTGACCGGTCAGAACGAACTGGAAGTGTCCAAAGAGGCTTTGGTGACAGCCATTTTTGTAGGGAACGGTTTGCAAAGAATCAACAAAAAAAGGATCCAAATTAAGTTGGCACCCTTTGGTGACCACTCCAAGCTGCTAGTGCCATGAGTTGGACGTTCTTTTCGAAGGCTAGGCAGGGGTACTAAGAACTAGCCAGAGTTGAAGTCCTTTAAATGAAACAGTTGATTGAACACCTCAACCTCGACCTCCTCCTTGCTCGGCTTTTTTGGGCCATTTTCATCCATTGAATCCCACATGTGAGTGCCCTCATTGGCCGAATAAAGCAATCCACGTAATCCACGTTTCTTTTTTTTGGTGCCACTAATGGTGCGGCCGTGATGTGAACTACATCAAATCCCGCGCAGGGACGGACAGCTTCTACAGAAGTGCCTCCCTCCAACGGCCATGTCGTGCGCCGGCCGGGCCTCAGGAACAGCTCCAGAAAGATGCCAGCGTGATCCAGGAGAAGGCGGATGGAAAGCCCAATCCGGGCA